AACACAAAAAAGAAAGAGGAAAGATAAGGATGATAGATGTTTGATAGGAAAGGAGGAGGAGGAGGAGGAGAGATAAGGACGATAGATGTTTGATAGGAAAGAAGGAGGAGAGATAAGGACGATAGATGTTTGATAGGAAAGAAGGAGGAGAGATAAGGACGATAGATGTTTGATAGGAAGAAAGGAACAAACCACACCAGAGCACCTACCAACCACCCACAAAAAGTCACCAGGAACAACAGCAAGAAATGCCAAAGGAACAAAAGTGAGAGGAAATGTCCCCATGACGGTGCTTAATGTCCTCACCTTATCAAAGCTCGTCTTCACATTGCGGTAACCAATCAGTGACAGCCTCTCACAGTTCCCAAAAGCTGTCTGTACCGCCCAGGTGTCATTCAAAGTTGTACCTTTCCGTGTGTGTGACTCTGCAAACTGCCTCTGGATCTCTGCGTTGAGCTGATCGACAGCGAAGTAGGCCAACAGCTCTTGGCCAGAGTGGTCGGACACTTCCCGCTCAAAGTCCTCACAGATGCAGACGTTGGGGGGAATGAGGGCAAGGTCGTTGCAGCTTCGAGCACTTCCCACAGGCTCCAGCAGACCCTTCTCCGTCACGGCGTAGTCCTTGTTGCGTTCCCTGACCTTCCAGCCGGGGCTGATGAGATGTGTCAGAGTGTAGTGCACGTCCAGTAGACTGACCAGACGCCGCGAGTTGACCCCCAGTGACCTCATGGCCCGCACACCTAACTGCCTGCCCACCTGCCGCGGGACGATGAAAAAAAGAAACGGGTGAAACATCTCCACCTGAGCCTCTGTCGACTCGCTGACGAACCTGCCGTAAGAATTTCCGTGGTCGGAAAACAATATGGTGAGAGTGTTTGCTTGAGCCGAAGCTGCCGATATGTAGTGGGAGAGTGCAAGGTCCAGGGTTTGAATCCGTCTCCCTGTCTCCTCGTGGCCAACGTTGGTCATTGTGAAGGAAAACCACGGGCGGTTGGCAGATGTCAGAGTGTGCTGATAGCCTGCCAGATAGTCCAGCAAGTACTCGTGTTGGTGGCGCCCGTTGTAACAGATGGCCTCCGGGCCGTGGAAGCCATCTTTGACGCCGCACGATTCAAACACTCGACACATGGCGAGAGTGACTTCGATGCTGTCCACAAAGTTTTCAGCCAGGCGAGTCCACATCCTGGTCCAAGTTTCCTGCTCGGGGCTGGTGAGGTTCAAGAAATGTAAGTCCTTGGACAGGCCCCACTCCCACAGGTGGCACAGGTCCTCCAGCCACAGGTTGCTGTAACCTTTGTCCTTCAGCTTTCCTAGCAGAAGGGACAGATCCAGAGGTTCCGGGGGTACTTCTTGGGTTCCAAACGGGTTTCTTGACGGGTCGATGTCACCGGAGAACAGGGTTTGGAGAGACTCAAATGTCCGAGACTTCACAGACTGAACCAGCTCAAAGTCAAACACGGCCACAGGAGAGCTGAAATCCCTGTTCAGATTCTCTAAAGCTAAAACGCTTTTGTTTAAAGATCGAAAAAAATGTTGCCTTGAAACAGAGTCCACCAAAACCAAATTAAAGTTTATAAGAGATTTGTTCACGGGACGAGCCCGTGAGGACGATGTCTTCACCAGCGGCGGCAAAATGAGCAACTGCTCGGCACTGGGAGCTTTTTCTTGGTCACTGCCAAAGTTCTTGTCATACAAGTCATCTGCCAGCGGAACATACTCATCCTCAGTGGTTTCCCTTCCATTCCCTGCGTACTCATCCTCAGTGGTTTCCCTTCCATTCCCTGCCGTTCTGTCACATCGAAGGAAGCAGAACCCAAAGTGTTTGGAAAAGTTTCCAAATTGTCCACGTCTCATCAGGTCGGTGAGCGCTTGTGCGAGGGACGAAGCAGTTCCCAGCTGGACCCACTGGAGCCTGCCTGATTGGTTGTGGAGGCCGATGAAAGGAGGGGACGCACAGACGCTGGAGATGATCTTTGCACTACAGGTCACTTGCTTCTTCTTGGTCTGGGAAATGAGATGGTGATTGGAACTCAGAGACGGTGATGGGAACTCAGAGATGGGAACTCAGAGACGATGATGGGAACTCAGAGATGGGAACTCAGAGATGGGAACTCAGAGACGATGATGGGAACTCAGAGATGGGAACTCAGAGACGG